CTTGATATCATTATTATCCCCTCTCAAGTAGATGCGCCTTTGAAGCGTCGGCTTGTCATAGAGAAAATTGAAGCGAGAGATAGGAAGAGACTTAGTAAATATATCTGTCGGTTGCACTTTAGTAAATATGTGACAGTGAAACTTCGTTGGCCTAAAATTTATCCCGAATAAAATGGTTCTCAATTTCTATATACTTCGTTCTGGTGTGAAAGACAGGATTATGAGCAATCACTATGGCGGAACTGCTTTCACAGTAGATAGAAGTAGGAGATGAGATCGGGAGATTGGAACTTGGAGATCTTGAAGTAGTTGGTGGAGCCATATGACATTTGTCGCTGATCTAGAGAGAGCTCGAGATTTTACTTCAGTAGATGAACGAGCGAAAGTGGTTTGTTGCTTGACTTGCCAAGATATGAGATTGGGTCTGAAGAAGGTACAGTGACCGGTGATTGAGCGACGATCAGTTGGATTTCTGGCCCACCTTGAATAGAAAGTAATTGTGTAGTGTGAGATGTCCTGGTTGAATGATGAGCTCGAAATCTATGTTTCCTTTTATGCAACGTAGAAGTCGTTTAAGTTGTTGAAAATGCAAACATAGAGGCTTTTGATTATGTTGAGATAGAGAATTAACAGCTAAATTTATGTCCTCTCATGTTATAGTAAGATTTTGTAGAGATCCAAGGATGTGGCGATAAAGAGATGGGTTTGCGAATTCATTTTGAAGTTCTAGAGATGTTGTTTTATGAGAAGTCATATGGTTGGGTAATGCCCTACAATCGGCCATGCCAGCTTTGGTAAGAATGTTGGATGCATAGTGAGCTTAAGTGAGAAATAAACCTGTGGATGTACGAATAATATTGATGCCAAGAAAAGTAGAGGGCGACCCAAGAATTTTCATTAATAAGTAACTTTTGAGATCAACCAACAAATGTTGAATATGTGTAGAGTTGTTTCCAGTGACTAAGATAACATCGACGTATAGTAATAAGTATGTATGTGTGAGGTTATGATCGTAGATGAATAAAGATGGGCCAACTTGGCTTTTATGGAAGCCTAGATAAAGTAAGTGACCCATGAATTTGTTGAACCATAAAAGTTGTTTTTAAGTTGACATACATAATCTGGATTTTGTCTATCAACATATCCCAATAGTTGATGCATGTAGATGGTCTTATGAAGATCAACGTGAAGAAAAGCGTTTGATACATAAAGCTAAAAGATAGACCAATTTTGTTGAACCGAGATGGTAAGCAGAGTTCTGATAGTTAGATGTTTGGCTACGTGGCTAAATGTGCTGGTGTAGTGTAAGCCAAATTTTTGCTGATAACCTTGCGCCTCCAAGCTCGCTTTGTACTTGAATTATAAATAGCAGAATAATAATATATCTCTTAGGAGCTATCTGGCAGTGGATTTAGGCCAGGATTTAACCTGTATTTACTAAATCCGGATTGTACAGAGTTTACTATATTTTGATTTACAGGATTTACTAAATCCTACCAACTTAAATCCCAAAAGTTTCAAGCCGACTGCTTGGTCTGCCAAAGTGGAGGTATGTATAATATATCCACTAATTCTAACGAACTTGGCAAAAAGTTACGTGTTATATAAAGGAGCATAATATAAGTACTTCATTAAAGTAAGATTATTGACTGCAATTGAAGAAGGGAATAAGAAGATGAGTTGGTTAACTATGGGTTCAGGTTCAACCACTACATCGGATCCCTTCCACCTCTGAAAATCTCAACTAGAGTTCTGAATCGTGTGTACTTGTGTTGGTCCATTGTTTGGAGGTTGATACAAATAAATATTTGACACATTAAATGAGGATAAGAAGCTGAGGTTAGAGACAACTTATGCATCGTCATTGATTCGTTTGCTAATTGGGAAAGGACCAATTTTTCAGGCCTAAACTTTGCAGTAAGAACCTGCGAGTAGTCATCGCTTTCGTGGTTGAACCCTAACTATATCTCCAATATTAAAAACCTTTTTTATTCTATTTTCATCAACTGGTTATATGTATTGTTCATTAGAGGCAATAAAATTCACTTTAACATCTCACAACATTGTATGAAAACCATAAATAATTTGTTGCCAGTTTGACTCTGAGTTTTGGGAGGATAGCGAAGTCTATTGTTTGATTTGATGCTTTAATATAAAATGTACTAAAATATATATGTTCAGTGGACCGATGCACTATATAGAATTGAAAGAAAATTTAGTTTGTCCCAAGTACTCATCCTAAAGCTTCAAGTGGTCACCTCCTAAACATTGAAGCATATTGTGCAGAGTATAATTCGCTACCCACATTTGTCTGTCAGTTTGCAGATGCTATGTGGAACTAAGGCAAAATTCTGTTTATAATTGTCTTAATAATTGCCTCCAAAAATATCTGATGAAATTGACATCTCAATTTGAATTGATGGTGCGAGGAAGTTCATGAAGGTGCGCTACTTAACAAAAGTTTGACTATGTTCAATGCATCTTGTTATTTTGACCCCCAATTAATGAACTAAGGTAAAAGTGCAATTTTGTAATATGACACCGTCACCTACTACATCTCACCTACCGCTCACCTACTACCCACCTACCACTCTCTTACTTCTATAAATAGAGAGGGTGTGAGGCCTAGGAGAGCACGGGAAGAGAGCTT